CTCCAACAACCTATTCTTTGTTGATTGCATTTTAACTAAAAACCATATTAATTTGGCTACTATTTAAAATATATTTGTATTTTTGTACATATAGAGCTATATCATTATTTAGACAAATTCAAGCATTGATAAGAAATTACGTGTGGAGAGCTTCAAGGAGAAATAAAATTAAAGCCAAGTTGTTGTAAAAAAAATATTATTTAACCTACTACTATTAGAAAATTTAAGATCTCAACTTCCAATTACAAGCAAAAGAATTTATAGCAAAATTATTGATTTGTAGCTTGAAGTTGGGCTTTTAACCTTAAAAAAAAATTATTCAATATAAAGTGAAAAGCACAAAAGTCATGGGCTCCAAACAATGGCCAACTAATTTCTATTAAATCATGCATATTAAGAGACCACCTTCTAATGCAACACCAATTTACACAACCAAAATTTGCTCTTGGTCCAAGATATGGGCAAGTCTTGCATAAGTAGAATTAATAAATTTAACCAAGAAGCTATGGCAATCTCTTTTTGACAACCTACTAATCCACCAATTAAACAAGGAGTAATTGAACTTGCAACACAACTCCAAACTTTATAACTTTGGCCATTAACAAGGTCTTTGCTATCAAAGATATTTAGAGATGAGATGCAAAAAAACAAAAGTTCATAGATAAACTAATAGCCCTTACAGAATTAACATCCATCCATAACTAATACCCCCTAGTCATTAGTTGACTTGCCTATTTTGACCTCACCAAAAACCTACAATTTCAGCCAAAAGACTTGATAATCTCACAACTTCAAAATCCAATTACCATAATCTATTACTTACATAGGAAAGAACGTGGCTTCTAGAAAGCTTATAAATATACAAAAGCAATCATAGATGAATTCATATAATAGCGAGATAAGCCAATGATAATTCTAATTAGTCCATTTGAATAAGTTAGGATATTACTCATATATAGGCTAAAAGATATGGTCTTCAAGTATAATTTAGCAACTCCACCATCCAAAGGTTCTAAGATATAGCTTTTCAAAAATTCATTGGTCTTAGATCTCTTTTAGAACTCATAGGATTGAAAATGGAAGCAAATATATAGACTTAAGAAGGCTAATTTTTTTGGCTACACAACCAAGTATGGCTATAGAATTGGACTACTAGAACAACACAACATGATGCTTGTGATTACACAACTTAAACTACAAAGATACAAAAATCAGCAAATCAAACAAATAATACAAAAGGTATGGCATCCATGGCTCTTGAAAAAAATATTAGAGATGATATGGCTAATACTTGTAGAAAATACTATGATGGAATATAATATGGAACATCTAGATGGCTAAATGCGCATAAGAACTCAATAATAATAGACTTAACTTGAGCAAAGTATTATACTATACATAAAAGATAATAGTACACGTAGATATGGAAGTCTAGAATGAGATCTTTTGCTAAAAGCAAAGCCTAGAGATGATAGTAGATCAAATAGTTTATGGTAATTTGGACTACAAACAATGTCTTTGCCTCAAGGGGGTTGGACTCTAAGTGGAATCCAAATTTATTGAAGGCATTTCTTCTTCACCACCTCCCAACATATTCACCACTCATATTGGATACCCAATCAATCTAAAGAATATTATAGTCGAGAGACTTACAACACTCACAAGCAAATGAATCACAATTCATGGTCAAAAACTTTCTAACTAGAATGCTTAAATAAGGCCATTGACACTCTCTTTGAAGAGGTCTGGCTTAAATTGAGAAGATGCTATCATATTATATGAAGTCTATTTGAGAATGTATTGAACACTTGGCTATGGAAGGAAAAATGGAACTTGCAAAAAAATGATCTTAACAACTCTAATAGAATCCTAAACAAACTTCAATTAAATTATAATAATGCTAATCAATCTTTCATTAAATCTAAAAGAAATTTTATGAACTTACAAAAGAAATATTAAAAATCATAAATTAATCTTAATAAAATATAATAATAATAATAATAATAATAATAATAATAATAATAAATCTTTTTAAAATATCAAAAATAAAAAATTTAATTGAATTCTAATCAAATTTTAATATAGCCCTAAATAAATTTTAATAAAATTCAAAATAAATCCTAATCAAATCTTAAGTAAAATCTAAATCCTAATTCTAAGCCAAATTCTAATTAAATCCCAATCTTAGATAAAATTCTAATCAAATCTTAAATCTTAATCTTAGACCAAATCTCAATAAAATCCTTAATCTTAATCAAATTTTAAGCAAACTCTAAGCAAATTTTAAGCAAATTCTAAGCAAATCTTAAATCCTAATTTTAAATCAAATTCTAATGAAATCCTAAAACCTAAATAATCTCAAGAAGATCTCAAATAAATTTTAATCAATTATTATAGCTATTTGAAACCTCAATAAATTTTAATTCAATCACAGATCTTAATTAAAATTTTACTTAGACTTCAAGTAATAAGCAATTAACCAGTATAAAAATTTTGAGAGAAATGAAACTTATCAATTATAAGAAAAACTCCCAAAACCTCTCAATTGTTCACCACCATCCTTCTCTAACTTGAATATTGATCTTTCAACACTAATTTTTCTTTGTTAAACTATTCAATTGTTCCAAATATTAGATTATGTATAAATATTCAAGTCTCAAATGTTCTCACCAAATTCTGCTTCAATCTAACTGGCAAATATTATTATATCTCATAATCACTTACTAACCCTAAATCTAAAAATTTTGTGATTATAACCAACAAATAATCTCATATGCTTCAATCTAACTACTCAATTGACCTCAAATTTCTCATGCACATTTACAACAAGCACAACAACAAATTGCCCAATTTATATATATATATATATATATATATATATATAGTACAAAATTCATGAAATCTTAAAATTTATAAACTATTTTTTATTTTTCAAAATTTAAACCCATCAAGTACATCATTAATTTTGAAAATCCTTCAAAATCTCAATATTAATCTAAATGATATGAAACTAACACTCAAAAATCTCCTCTCGAATCTACTTTCTAACCTCAATTTTAGATTTGCAAAACAAATTCAGACTTGCCATAAGTACTCAATTTAATGTCTTGAGGTCTGATTTTGACTTTGGTTGGCAACTGTCACGGACATACTCATGTAAGCTAGTAATTACATATATAAATAAGTAGAAGTAAATAAAAGTAGATAAAAGTAAGTTAATTCTATAGTATTTGGTATAGAAGCTTCATAGACACTGCTTTGACTTCATAGGTGTCTTTAATTCACTTTTTGGATTAGAAATGTGGTCAACAAGTTGGCCATGTGCCACACATGTTGTTAGCTTAAAGACCAAGCTAACTATATGGCCCACACGTAGAAAAACTTGCCTTGTAAGTCAAGGCATGTGTCCTACAAAGTCAACACATATTGGAGGTCCTATAGAACGTCGCCATGTAGCCCCTAGTTAGATAGTATATATAGAGACAAGAGTGAAGACTTCTTCACTCTTGTCAACTCCTTTCTTATTTCCAGTCTAGTTTCAAGAATCATCATGTTTTCTAGTCTTTGGCAATAGCCATTCTAGTTCAATATATTATCACCTTTGAGTGATTTCTAAGTATTTTCAAGTGACACAAGAGTGTATTGAGATTATCTTTCTTTGGAGTTCATATCCTTGATAGCAACCAATCTTCTTTAGGTATCAATTCTTATCTTCTTGAAGTAATTTTTACTAAAATCAATACCTAAATCCTTCTTACATATGCTTACATTCTTTATTTTTTTAATCTACTTTATTTTGTCTTATTTATGGCTCTACAAAGTAAATAGAATCTATTTTTATAAAAAGTAATTCTAACACTAGATTTTACTTCCTAACTATCTTATATTTATGTTCTTCTACTATATCTTTTTAATTAAGCTCTTCTATAACAAAATACTTTTTTTCTATTTTCACCTAATGGTTGTGTTACTACACAAGAATCCCAACCTATAAAATAGCAAAATTAAAAATATCATGTTGAATCAAATACAAGAGATTTCACTAAACATGATTAAGTGATAAGGTAAACAACCAAGACAACAACAAAATCCAAAACCCAATAGAGTGTGATACAAGACCAATAAAAAAAAGCACACAAAAATAGAAATTACTAGGATGGAAAAAACAAAAGTCCCTAACCATTCTCCATAACAAGCATTATACACCTTCTACCAAGAGTTGACATACAATGACAAGAAGATATTAGTAGCTTTTAGAACATGATAGCAAAAGACACCCGACAATTGAGTTAATCAAACAATGAAGCACAAACATAGCCAATTTCTTCAACAATGTGTTACAAAATGAAATTAATGAACTATTAGCAAATGTAGAAGCAACTCAACACATAGAGGCTTCAATTGTGCATATGGTGATAGCAAAAGAAAAGCACAATGCATAAGAAATAATATTTACCAAGACAACCAATAGCCATGTAAACTAATGCCATAGAACATAGATAAATGTTTTTTGCCTATCATAATCCCAATGGAGATTTCTTGGGTTAGAGAAAGTGTGTTCACAACATTTAGGCAGTACCAAGTTTGAATCCAATTAAGTGCATAGAAGATTGTTTTTGTGGAAACCAAGTTTTGCCCTTACCCATCATACCTTTACTCTCTCCAACCAAGGCTTCCTTGATCTATGCTCCCATCAGCCCTAAATTCCAACCCTGATGGAAGAACCCAGATGGACATATAAAATGTTTGTTAAAACTGCTCCTAATTCATTCATGTAAGAAAATTTACCATCTAGGCACCTTTTCTGACCCAGTCCATAGAGTTAACTTGTAGTATTGTCACTAAATAATAAAACTGGAGCTTATACTCAAATGAAAGTAGGCAATTGAGTGCTCTGACACAAACCATAGTAGTGGATAATCCACATGAGAAAACATATTATCTAATGGAGTAACTACATGTGATCCCAAACCGCCAGCACAACTGATGACCATGTGAAAGAGTCAACACGCATGGACATAAAAGTTAAAAGGAAACAATTGTCCTACTTACAAACTTACCTGCTTCATGGAATAACACATCCTGGAAGCGCATGGTGACATAATAAAACACTATTGAGTCTCATAAGATTTGACAAACCCTGAGGAACATGCCTGTATATCCTCTGCTGATTGGAAACAAGAATCAGCTTTATCCTCGACCCCTGCTAAAACCTAAAATAGTACGTGGGCAACTCCATCGAACCCGTAGAGATCAACTATGAACCCAATCAAACATACAACAGCCATCTAGAGATGGTCAATTATCTCCAAATGCATATGCCGAGCACATCACCTAACAGGAAACACAAGTTGTAGATAAATAGCTCATACACAAAACTTTATCTAAGTAAAGCGCTTGTCAAGAAAAACACCATGAAATCCACAAGGAATCACAACCTCAAATGACAGAAGATTGTTCGTCATCACACTGCTGAATACATTATGATCGCTTCATCCGAAGAGGAACATAGGGTACGTCCAGAAGCCTCTCCTGCATCGACAATCTGAACTTTATGACTTCTACGGCGAAGGAAGTTGAGGCTGAATACTAGAGATGAACAAACTAGCAGTGAAATCTATGTACCGCTTTCGAAAGGGTGACAATGGGTACGTTCACGTGCTCCTCACGTACCATGGTGAGAAGATCCATGGTGAGAACTTCTCCTTCGAAGATCTCTTGAAGAAAGAGAGGGCGAATGAATTTCAAAGAGATTGTTCAAGAACTCTTCGACATGCTCGGATGTATACTTGATATATCTCTCGGGATGTCTTTGGGTCTCCATGTAATGTCCATATCGACCTAGGAAAGAACGATAAGCAGGAAGAATCTTATCCGAGATGGCAATGCGGAGCTCATCACGAAGTTGATCGTCCTGGATAACCCAACTTGTTTGTGCTTTCTGGACCTCCTCGAAGGCAGCATTAAAGCTCTTGAACCTTTCCTTCAAAACTGGCTTAGAAACACCGCTTGAAAAGCCCCCGCCTGTGTGAATGCCTTCATCTCGTAAGCATGATAAAATCTTACCCCACGCCGCTCTCTGGTAGCTGCTAGCATATTGTCTGACCTGGCTAGTATTTTTCCTCACCCAATCGTCCCCTACAACGGCCCTCACCTCCGTAGTTTTAACCTTTTGCACAATATAGTGAATGTTGTTCATAAGAAACAAATAGGTCAAAGACAGGTCTCTATATAACTTTGACTTTTCTTCCAAATTAGACAGAAGAACTTTCGTTACCCAGATTGTTTGGGTACCGAGCGTAGATAATTCGGTACTGCCACCTCTCTCTCCATCATTTGATCTGGATGAGTACCTCGGTGAATCTCTGAGTGAACCATCCCTGAAAGATCCTTCTCTGCTTGATTCATTTCCTCCCTCGTCGTCTAGATCGTACTCCTTCTCGTCGAAAAGCAGTTTCATAGTGTCAGAATAATCACACATGAACTTAATGTAATTCATAACATACTTTGTTAGGGGATGCACACCGCCTCCAGGCACAGGAATTCTCGAACCATCCCGTTGAATAGCAATTTCAAATTCACCAAAAGTTCTCTTCGCACATTCTCCAAGCCGAGCCAGTATTGCCTCTACATCGGCCCTCAAGGGTGCACACGCCTCACCACAGAATGTATCTTTGATGTCTGGGAGAAGATCCCGTATGGTCTCATACATGTCGAGTATCTTGAATAGTTTTTCTGGAGACCGACGGCTGATAGCTACTGCTTCACCAAAGCTAAGTAATTGCATCATCGGCCCCTTACCCAATTCGTTAAAGCAAGAACATGCGACACTAACCGGTGCATTAGCAAATACGCTTTCACACAAATGCTTCTCACTCGCTAACAGGGCCCTAACGCACACTTTCATGCGTTGATTCCACTTGCTGATTTTGACTTCCAGATCTTCCCACTTCATCCTCCCGACCTCATCGATGCTCAATTTCTCAACTCCCAATAATGTCAAGGTTTCTTCCAATACGTTCTTCCTGATGCTGGCATACACCTGCACACATTCTCTCTCATACCCACCAATGATCATCCGCTTCACGATGTTAGTCAAGTCGAGCACTGTCGCCGGAGGTATGAAGTCCAAAACAGGATTGACGTTCCCAACGGGTCTTGAGAATGGTTTATCCTCACGCTGTTCTTCATCATCAGGGCGCTCAGCTGCATCAACTTCACCATCAACGCCTGCATCGACGTCATCATTAACGTCTGCATCGAAGTCATTACCACCTTCAGCATCGTCTAAACGTCGACTGTTAAATGAGCCAGCTCTAGAGCAGTTATCCACTAACCATTCTGGGTCAATTGGCTCACTGCACGTAAGTAACAGGTGCCTGAGCTCCTCCTCCAATCGTGTCATGGCTAGCTGACATAAATTCTGTGCCCTCGTCAACTCCTTCTGGTTGTTCCCACCAACAGTTAGCGATTCCAACGCAGTCTGAATCTCATCGACTGCTTCCAAATATGCGTCAGACTCGTGTTGAAGGCCCTCCCATATCTTAGATTGTCGGGCATGATCGGAAGAATTCGAATCCCATTGCATTACCACATCCTCTGCAGAGTTCAAACCTCGAACGGATGCCAATCTTGCTAGTGCATCCGAGCCATTCTCTGTGCCGGGGTCCGCCATCTGATATGTACACAAGCTACTCTACTACGTCCTATATTCGTACTTCTCTAACCTCCCAAACTTGTTGATCACACGGGTCGAAAAGGAAGGCTTATTCAGCGCAAATTGATTACAAGTTCCCGAACAGAGCAGGATGTACGAGGATAAATTAACTTTATCTCTGCTTTCAACTTAAGACAAGACCTTCCCTCTACGACTGAAAGAGGCATTCGACGCAAAAACTTGTCACTCCGCTAATCGTTACACGTCACCACAATGACTACGACCCGGTATTTCTTCCCACAATTACAAAACCACAACGTCCCTCGAATAACCACGTAACAGGTGCTGAACGTTCCGTTTCTCTTTCTCTCACTCACTCTTTTCTAGTTTCTTAGATTGCCACTTCTACACAACACGCCAGATACAACACATCTGTTATCCGCCCCGGCAGCATCAAAAAAAGGAAACAAATAAAACATTGAAGCACTCGTTCTGCAGCATGTCATCACATTCGCCACCAAAAAGTCAAGTAGCACACTGCCAAGCCGCTCCCTGCTCCCCTGCCTCACAGCCGATGTCAAAAATCTCCGTCCTCCTCCTAATCGACGCAACAACGTCACATTCCAACTAAACAGCCCCGACCATCCACAGTTTCCTCTGGCTTGTCACCACGATCTGCCATCTTCCCGCTCCCCGATACGACAAAATACCAAACACGAGAGACCAGAACCAAAACCAAAACCAAAACCCCGGGTCTGGCACCCGAAGCACCAGCAAAACCGCAAGAAAAAACGCTCAGGCGATGAGGTGCCAGACTAACCCTTAGCGATCAGATTCAAGCATTCCTCTATCCCTGTTGCTCTTGATCATCGCCCTGGTCGTTGGCCAAGCAAACCCTAGAAGATCTTGACAGCTGCACTAGTAGTACCAGTCCAAGCCACATGGACGACTCCCTCCGTCCATCCACAGCTTCTTCTCCACTTCCAGCCGGATCTCGTGAAGACGTAAAAAACCTAAGCAGAAGACGGAGACGACCGCTGAGTTCCGGTCTGGCGTGCCGTCCTCAACTGCTCCAGTAACAAACTTCTCGTCGCGTCCGCACCTTCAGATTCCATTCTTCATCCAAGGCCATCCTGCGTTACAAAGGCCCTGGCCCCTCCCCGATCTCTGTGGCTTCTTCCACGCTTGAAATAGCGTCCAGAATCATCGCTGCGAGGGAGCCAGTCAAGAATGTTCGGAGATGTGCTCACCGCTCCATCGTCGGAGATGACCCTTGAAACCAGCTCGATTCCGCGGTTAGACTAAAATAACTCCGCGACGCGAATTGCGTGATCCCGACTGTGTACGACCCAACCGCAGCCTGAGTGACGTGTAATTCAAAACGTGGGGTAAAGAGGAAAACCACATTTTGACACTAAACACTTCGGGAATGAGATCTTTGTGACCCTACTTGATTGCTCAGGGTCGACCTTTGGGTTCAGATCACACCGCACACATACTAAGCAGGCCATGTTGTCACCAATTTCTAGACGAGATGGGAGGGAAATACAAACGAAGATTCTAGACGCGCCTTTTCATTCATTGCCTGCCATTTCTGAGAGATTGCTTGCTGCCATCTCGGTGATGATCAGTATGCTGCTGCCGCAAGTGCTTTTGACCCCATGCCAATGATCACCACCATGATTTGTTCCCACCCTACAAGCTCAGTCTTCTTCAAATTCTTATAAAAACTTGTGAGGTTTGAAATTCCATTGAATTAGAGTGCGCGAGAGAGCGTGCGTTGATTTTGCCTATGACCACATTTTAGGTCAAATATGACTTTGTTTCAATTCAGCGAGAATCCGACGTGGCGGGCACGGAGAGTGTTTTTCCCAAACCTTTTGAAAGCAATAATAAACCTGCAAAGAACACCTAGTGTAAAAGAAATGATGTTCCCCACAAGTTGTCTGTATGTGTAATTATAGAAGTATGGCTTTTGTGTTGGGCTCAGGCTTTTCAAGGTCGCACCACCATTTCGGGGATGGTCCTAACCCACCTACTCACACCCACCTACTCACACTGAAAGTAATAATAATATGATCTGTTTGTCCTATCTTGTGGATGGATGTACTCTGGATGCTATTATGGATGAATTTCTTCATTCCTAGTGGCTCATTTCATGACTGGGGGCATGCGAGGAAGAAAAGCTGCAAAAGGATTGCTTTTAGAGAAAGTGGTTGCATGAGAAAAAATTCAACGTGTGTGAATTATTGTGAAATCTGACCTTCACTAAGAAGAAAAAGAAGATGATATTACAGTTCAAAAAATCAAAACTAAAACAAAATCAAAAACAATGGTGATAAGTAAGCAACTTGGTCCAAAGTCAAATTGCATAACATAAATGCTAAGTTATTTGATTGTTTGTTTGTTTGTTTTTTTTATTTTTTTGTTAAAAATAATTCCTTCTATTTGATAAGAATTTTAATGAATTTCTTTTACTGTAAACTTGTAACTATAACAATAATTCAGTTTGTTTGTTTATTTATTTATTTATTATTGTTGATATTGTACTGACAACATCATTGTTTATGTTCCACATGGGTGCATTTATTTTATGTTACGGTATTATTTTCACTGTATTATTGTAGAGCTTTTGTATTAAATTTTCTAAGTATAAAACCAGCTAAGCAAGACTTTTAAGTTTCAACCAATTAAAAGATTTAAAAGTTGTGGATTTCTCACCTTGTTCTTCAAGTAAAAAGATCTCCTAAATGATTTGTAATATGCATCAAAATCTAATAATTTTAAAATATTTCATGTAATCAAATATTAAATAGTAATAAGAAAAATGTAAAATTTTTGGATTTATTCTCTTGAAACAATGTAGAATTGATTTATGATAAGTTTTTTTTATAATTATGACTTTCTACATTTTTGTAGTTCTGTAAAAAAAATACGATGTTAAACTTATACAATTAGAATCATAGCTCTTTGTTGATTTATTTTTGCAATATTAAATTCATTCCTTGGTATATTTAAATACCTAATTAAGATTCATTTCATAAAGTTTCTGTTGCAAACATAGTTTCAAAATATTTAGAAACACTACTTTTATTCACTAATAAATTTATACATTTAATGCAAATTTCAAGTATATAGATTCTCTAATACACATCGTCTAAAAATAATTAGAGTAAAATTTGAATACAAAAAATAAATAACAGAATTGTGGTTAGTGAATGTCAAGGTATGCATTTTAAGGTAAACCCTCTGTAAGAAATTTATGTAAAATCAAAGTATAATGTCTAAATTTTGAAGTCTTGCATTTCTTTCATGCAACTTGTACACATTTCTTCACCCACTTCATCCATAGTTGTTAGTAGATGTCACGAAATTCTTTCCCTCTTTTACTTGCATTGCCCTGCTTTCTTTGTTTGCCCTCCTCTTTCTAATTGCCTTCTTCTACATACATGTTTTCTTTGTTCCTATACTCATTAGTTGCTCACTTTAATCTCTTACTCTCTAATTGGTTTCAACCTTGTATTCTCCTCACAATTATATGGTTTGTGAGAGAGCAATGCAATGTGGTCATTATAGACAAATCACTCTTCATTTCTTTCTTTATTCTTTTATGTTTATCTTTTTTTTTCCAGAAGTTCGTAGCATTGCCTTTCAGAGTTCTATAATACTCTTTTATTTTTGCAGCATTCCTTTGTTATACTCTAATGACTTGCAATGTCAACCTCCAATAGCACAAAGTGGTCAAAGTGCAAAATGCATATATTAATATTTGCATAGGGGTTTGGCGCACAGAATCCTTTTGTCTATTTTTTCTATGATGAGTTGAATGTACAGAGAATATTGGTGTGAATCAAGTGACCCTTGACAGTGTCTTCATTGTATACCAATATCAATACTCTGTATTTTTCTAATAAGAGGTAGTGTTGGGTAGTAAAAAGGTGACAAATGAAACCAGATCAGCTTGCTACTTATTAGGCAACATGAGCTTCCTTGCCTTAATTTCTCCCACTATTTCTCCACATCTAAAGCCAACTAATTGAATCCAATTTGTTAAACCCTAAAATATTTTGTTTGAGTAATGGCTACCAAAAGATAGCAGCTCAAGTAAATAACTCAATTACATATATTTTTTTGTATTAAGTCTGGGAGAAAAATATGTGTATTTCTGCAAAAGAAACAGTAAACAACAATCCACTCTTTAGTAAAGAACTGTTTATGGGTTTGCTCTACCTCTATTATGAGGAAATAATTCATTTCTTTTTTCAAAAAGAGATGAAAAGAAAAGTGTTTCTTAATATATTAATGTATTTATTTTCATGTTATCAAACAATTAAGGTAAAAACTCCATAACTATCATTGCAAAGAAAACTATAAATAAACCTCCTGAATGGACCTATCTTATTCAGAATAGGATGCCAGATATCACTTACCTTCTGCATGGGCAAACCATCTGAACAGGGTTGTCAAATGAGAAACAGATAGACAGATGGATTTTCCACCGTCATTACCAGGCAATCTGCACACCTGCCTTCATCAAATGAAACAACCCAATGTCCTTGTTCTATTCATGTGATTGCCACTAGTGCAGCAGCAGCAGCAGCATCGAAATATATATATATATATATATATATACACACACACACACACATGTGTGGGTGCGTATGCGTGCGTGTGCATAATTTTAAATTCAATTTGTGCGTGCAGAAGAATTTGCATTGACTGGGTTTGGTATTTATGAACTGACCAGGTTGTGACTGCAGTCGGCATTTGGGGGAATTGTACTGAATGAGTAAACCACCAATACAAGGATTTTTAATTTGTGACATAAGGCTCTTTTTTTGACTTTTTCAAAGTGAGGGAAAAATGAGTTGATTGGATTAAACGGGGTCAACTATCAATGCACAAGGATATTATTATTGTTACTATTATGTTATTCCTTCTTCTGTGTGCTCATGGAAAGGAATGGGATTTTTCAACAGCTCAAGTACTTGCATTAAGTGCCCCTGATAATAGATTCAAATGGTTCTCAACTATCCCAGTGAAGAGAGTTGAGAGGCACGGTTCCTCCATTCAGAGTGCTTTCAAGGAAGAATCTTCGGATTTCCTGCCCGACTTCCACCCGGGCAGCGAATCTGCATGGCATGGTAGTGCCCCAGCTGTAGTACCCTGTTAGCGGGCACACCATTGCTCACTGCTCGAAGCCAGGCCCAACTATCCGAACAGCGGACTTCTGAGTCTATGACCGCCTCCCGTTCCCTATGACCGTACCCTCCATCAAACAAGGGGCTCTTTGGCACCTGACTGCTGGAGCTTGCCAGCTTGGCACTGCACCCCAGTCCACAATTAGACGCCAATGGGCTGCCAATAATGATAGCCTCTCACGTGGAAGGTACTCCCTCTTCCCTTCTATTTAACCATGTGCCTAATTTATTATAAAAAAACATTGATAATAAAGGAGAATTCCTTGAGGCTTGGTGACTAACAAATTACACTTGGAACAAGCACTTGTAATCCAATCGATTCAACTTTGACAAGTCTAAAACAAGTGTGGAACAGGTTTAATTTTATCTCGATTTTTTCAAGTACTCTTTTTCTGTATGTTTTTTACTTCATGATCTAAAACATATGTATGTATGTTTACAAATATTAACGAAGGATAGAGATCATTAAAGAACATTTCATGCTTAACTTATTTATTTCAGAAACTTTGGTATTTGTATGACATTTGGGTGAATCTTTGGGGATGATAGTGTTGTATATGCAAGTTTATGGCCCACTGTACGATAAAAATAATGATATTAAAAAAATATTATAAAACATGCTCAAATTTTGTATGTACAGGTGATGTAGGGTCATTAATCCCTGTTTAATATGATTATCCATGAGGGTGCACATATTCATCATTAGAAGTCCAAAAACAAATTATATATATATATATATATATGTGTGTGTGTGTGTGTGTACATATGTTATAAACTTGGGCCTGTATGTGTATGTAGCATTATCAAATTTGTATGTCACTTCCATAAAAAAAAAAACAACCCAAAACTCATATTTTACAAAACAAAAAACTATTTTTTTGACACCAGTAAATTGTTTCTATTTGAATGGGTTTGACTGGCTTAAGTATCTTATAATTGATTTTGATATTTGTGAATACTCAAATGGCAGCATAACCAAACGATGTTCAAGAAAATAAATACTAACAAGTTAAGTAAACATTTTTTCAACTAGTGATACCAATATCATATTTTGTAACTACAGCAGTAGCTTTATTACTGTACAAGTATGCATTGTCCGTAATAATGAAACTTCAAACCTAGCCACAGTGATCATAAGTTTTTTCATGAAAACTACAAAACAACTGTTTCAAAAGCTTGCTATGTTCACAATGCAAGTTTTTTCCTTGTTCAAACTTTAATATAAATGAACTCGTATCATTAAAGCTTGCCAAAAACATATTTTTATTAACAGGTGTTTGAACCAAAAAAAAAAATCAATAAATTAAAATTTTCGATCATTTTTAGCTTATATTATTTAAACTATACATTGTTACTTATTCTACTAAAACTTCTGTAAAAACTTATTACTAATGTAATAATTATGATCTATACTTTGTTTTGTTTGTTTTTTTTTGTTTTGTTTTTGTTTTTTTGTTTGTTTTTTTTTGGTTTTTTTTTTGGTTTTTTTTTTTTTTTTTAAAGTTAAGCTAAAATAACTTAGTAAAATCTAACAAGTAAATATCAGTTATAATCATATTTTTTTGTCATACCTAATATCAGAGGTCTGGCACAATGTTCTAGTGAGAACCATAGTATAAGGTGTCATTATATATAATGATAATAAATAATAATAATAAAAAAACTCTTGTGTTAAATTTCAATTTGACTTTTGCATCTAAAATGTAATCTTATATGTTGTCTTCATGCAAATAATTGTACTTTTTTTTAATCTTCTATCAAAATAAAATAGTTTCATTGATGTATTTTTCTTTCGCTTGTAAAAATACTATTTATGTGTTTTTTACTCAAATATTACATCTATGAACTTTAGTTATACCTAGAACTGGACTAATTTACAACATTTTTTGAATACTATAAGCACTTCTTGTCTTTATGTTAGAAAGTAGCCAACAAAGTAATATATATATATATATATATATATATATAAATACTTCACTACCTTTCAGCTTTACTTTGAAAAACAATTCATTTTGGAATCATAAATGTTTTAAAATCAAACTTTCACAGGATTTCATTTTATTCAATTGATAATTGAATTTATTTAATTATTTGTAATTTATAATTTTTCTTCTAAACTCTGATGAAGTATTTTAATGAAATTCAGCTGAAAATTTGAGTTTTTAACATGCGTGTATACAAGCATATATATATATATATATATATATATACACATACTGGAATTGAATACTCATATTAATTGACACCAAACTGTAAGTCGGAAGTCAACAAAATAATACCACAGCAAATTTGTTTTTATTTTTGTGTAATCAACCTCATTTGAAGTTTTGTTAAAATATATTGGTATTAACTCTAACTGTTGTTGTTTTGCAGAAGTGAAGCCACATGTGCAAATTGATAATATTGGAAGTTTTAACATGATATCACTTCTAACCCCATCAGCTCATTTCTTGTATATTTTGTACACATTATTATTATTATTTGCCAAGTTTCAAGATCCTCCATGATACAAAAAATGAAGATAAATGAAAACAAGATTGATATCCCACACATCAACAACAATAATTCACGTCGCCTACACACCATATTAGAAATATTTGTGCGACAACGATTAAAATCAAGATTGTTATTAATTAATTTCAAGAGCTCTTTGGTATGCGAAAGCCTAATCACTTTTCGTGGCATTTTACTTTTTCGCTTGCGTTTACGTTTTCGTTTTTGGGTTTGTTTTTGGAACTATCGCACCTCCACCCCCACCTCCATCTCCAGTAGCAAAACCCTAATTTCCATGTGAAGACAGATGATAGCTTCTGCAGCATTCTTACCTCATGTCTCGCATTGCCCTGGTTCGATGCAGCAACCACTATTCATCGATGATTTCGCACAGTCCACAGTCTCCCGATCCCGTACTTAAGTTTAGAATTGGGGTTGTAGAGTATTTTTCGTCTCGCAGCTCCTTAAGCCCTAAATCCTCATTTCTGCCCATGGAAGGTCGCACATCTGTTGTGAAATTTGTAGACATGAATAATTCTCGAGCTATGCATCGTACCAATCAGCATTCTCGTCTTCTGGCGTCATAAGTATCGATTTCTTGCTGGAGTCCTGATTCCGCGTACTCTTTTTTTCTCAAAGGAGTTTGTTGGGTGGTGATTTTCCGTGGCTGAAAGTTGCTCGAGATGGCGGACGGGGTGCTAGATGAGAATGATACGATAACGGTGACCCTTCCCGAGGCAATGACCGTGGTAGCCTCCGCGCCCAAGGTCGTGACCACGAAGGGGCCTCCCGCGTTGCCATGGATGCGGAGTCCTGTTGAAATTGCAATTCATGACCCGCTCTCTGTTGATGAGGTTCCTCTACTTGATTCTAGGTTCGTTAAGTTGCGCTCTCTTCGTAATCAAATGGTGGCTTTGTTGAGTCTTCAGGAGTGCATTTGTGTCCTTTTTTTTTTTTTTTTTTTTTTTTTTTTTAGCATAATGAGAATACCTAGCATTTTTCCAAATAGTGGATGACTTAGATTGATAACCTCGGAAGGGTTCAGGTGTAAGGTCTTGCTGCATGATTGCTCATCTTGAGACGGCTTTGTGTAAGGTTGGCAGATTGCAAGAGGCTCTGCGAAAGGCTGGAATTGAAGCTCTATTTCCTGTTCAGGTTGCTGTGTGGAACCAAGTGCTGGGCCCTGGCGGGCGTGAGCGGGATTTGTGCGTGTGCTCTCCTACAGGCAGTGGAAAAACTCTTTCATTCGCTTTACCAATTGTCCAACTGCTTTCAACAAGAGTCCTACGCCGACTTCGAGCTCTGGTGGTGCTTCCAACAAGAGACCTTGCTGTTCAGGTATTGTCAATGCTCTGCAAGTATATAAGGATTTTAGTGGATGAAATGAAGCTTGCTCCTCATCAACTATAGGGAAAATTTCCATATTCCGGTTTGTAAATGTCTCCTAATCTCAATAGCCCTCAATTTAGTTTAATTAAAATAGATGAGCAGTATTCAAGGAGAGCGGGGACGGGCGTGGTGAGCCGCTGTTGATATCGTATCATTTTTCAGGTGAAGTCTGTGTTCGACATATTGGCTCCAGCAGTGGGTTTGTCCGTTGGTATAGTAGGGCAATCCACAGTTGCTGCAGAGGTAGGTGAACTTGTGAAAACCAGGTCAAGGTTGGTTCATAGCTTTGAGACATATGAAGCTGTGGAGAACAACTTGGTTTATGAAAGCTGCATTGACATTCTCGTTGCTACACCTGGAAGATTGATGGATCACCTAAAAAACACTCCTGGATTTACGGTAGAGCATCTTCAATATCTGGTAGGCATTCTTCTGACTAAATATGAAGCACATTTTTATTTCTAAAGCTTCACGAGCTAGCCCAGAACATTTTCTTTTGAAGTGTTTGCATCCTATTTGATTCTGCTGTTAGGGGATGCAGTGTACTGACCGTTCTGCACTTCTTAGGTTGTGGATGAGACCGACAGGCTTTTGAGACAAGACTATCAGTCTTGGTTGCCGAATGTGCTCAATGTAATTCAAATTCCTGAAAGATTTGATGATGTAAGTAGAAGAAAAGCTCAATGCTTACGAGGTACCGGGGTTGCGTTTACGCAGCGACGCTGGTGAGTACTTTTCAATGACTCGTATTGCTGATTGATCATTTTTCCTTCAGTTGATGACATGGTTTTTTTTTAGTCTTGATTCTTTGTTGTGGGCTTAGCGAACAATTTTATAATGATTGCCCAGGTGTTTAGAGCGGGGATCAAAAGGAAGGGTGCATCCTAGAGTGATGAAGTTTTTATTGTCAGCTACTTTGACCAAGGATCCAGCAAAGATTGCCCAGTTGGACCTTTATTGGCCTCTGTATCTTGCTCCTAGTGCTGAAGAAAGTCGTTATCATCTTCCCAAACAGCTTAAAGCTTTTAAGTTGGTAAGTACCTGAAAGCACTTACTTACAATTTGACTGAAACACATTGAAAGCAATGATTTTTTCAGAATGCATGTAGGTTTTAGCATATCTGCTTAGGACACCTTGTCAAATTTTGTTATTTGACAAGCACAAGAATGATGTGCAGCACGGTGCTTATGTTTCTGTTTTTTGCAGATCACGAGAGCTAGCAAGAAACCATTAGTCTTGGTGGCCCTTCTAGAACAATTTAAGAATCAGTCCACCATTATTTTCAATGCATCTGTGGAAGCCACACACCAACTTTTTTTGTTATTGAGACATTTCTACGCTGGTCAAGAATTTTCGGTTGTAGAGTATTCGAGTAGACAACCTCAGCATATTCGGAGGTGGAGAATCTACACAATATATTTTCGTGGTAGTTTGATTGATAATGTAGCTTGATTAATGGATTTGTACTGTGATCGTTATCGTATGTTCTTAACCACCAGTATATCCAAGTTTACTTAATAATCGCACCCAGATGATGTATTTTTTTTTTTTTTTTTTTTATCATGATTGAAATTCGATGAAACATAATATGAAGTCACATAACTTGCATCAAGTCGCCGCCACTGCCGCCTCTTCCGTTTTAGTTTTTATTGGTTTTAATTTCTTTTGTAGATTTGGTATTTATACTCATATTTGAATGATTTGTTTGTGAGAGTGGTTTTCTTTCACGATATTTAGGTGTCTCTTCCAATTGGTTGAGAACTGTGTTTATCAGGCATTGTGCTGATTCCTTCTGCGTGCTACAGGAAAGCCCTGGCGGATTTTACGGACGGCAAAGTGCACGTAATTGTGGCATCGGATGCGATGACTCGAGGCATGGATGTGGAGGGTGTTGCAAATGTGATCAACTATGATGTTCCCGTCTATGCCAAGACTTATGTTCATCGTGTGGGCCGTACTGCAAGGGCAGGACAAGCTGGTCGTGCATTTACTTTATTGGTGAAGAAAGAGGTGAATTGCAATAGACACAAGTAGCTGGTGATCAAAGGCTAATGTCTTGGTGGTCCTTGCATTCGGAGTTGTGAAGTCACTTAAGCTAATTAGTTCTACAGGGCTGTGCTCTGCTAGTGTTGTCTATTGATCTGGATATTGCAATTCTTTTGTTCCAATCTTTGTTAACATTCCTTCCTTTTTATGATATGTAAGGCTCGTCACTTTAAGAAGGAACTTCTCAGCAAGATGGAGAACGGGCAATGCGAGGATTATGACCTTCCGGTCGCCCTATTGGAGGAGCTTCTCCCTCGCCTCACTGCAGGTTGTAATCACATCTGATGTAACCGTCATTGCGGGTGGATTTGTAGAAATTCATCTAGGCATCAGATGTTATGTGCAGTTTTGAATATCTTTGATGTCTCACAACGTATCTCACTTCTGACGGTTTCTAGAGTTTTTCTTCGAGCGTGTGCTCAAACTAACGCTTGTTTATTTATTCCTTCTTTTCAGCTCAAGGAAAACTGAACGAAGATGCCGCAGCGGATGACTCAGCTGAAAGAATCGTTTCAGAACCAAAGTCAACTTAACGAAAGACATCAAAGTTGCTTACTTATTGTACGATTTTCGCGCATGGTGCTGGGTGGTTTGATGGATTGCAAGGTTATTCTGCCATGACCTTGTGTAGTGGTAGGGGTTTGTTTCAAAAGATGAATGTTATGGAAGACCTTGTTCGTGGTACGTAAAACCACATGGGCCTCAGATGAATGGAGATTTTATGATGATTCTTTGCGTCTCCATTTGTGCAGTGGATGAATTGCTGAAGCGAACGCGCCTTGGTTGGTGATAATGCCTCTACTTTGCAAGTCTTGTTGGGCCTTGATCTGATGCAAATTCAGGTATCTGCTGTTAGAAACGAGTGCCGTGTTGTTTTCGTGCTAGCATAGTATCAAGTCTTCTGCCAATCTCAAGCCTCTTCAAAGGTTAACTTCCTTTAAGCTTGCCAACACTCCAGTCTCTCAAAGTTTAGAGTTATCGTCTCGCCTGTAACTTAACTGTGTTTTACAAATCATGTAGCCACCTTCCTCAGCTAATGTATTCAAATTTTTGTACTTCATCGCAATAAGAAGTTTTAGGTGCTGTAATGCCTTTATTCTTGTGAACCCTCTCCACGACAGATTCGTAAGGACATCTTGTAGTTCCTCCACTGTGTCTACCTATGAATGGCTCTCTTCATTTTCTTCGTTACTCTCCATGACATCTTACCATAAACTTCACCTTATTAATCCATCAAGTGCTATGTTCCAGTCTAGAAACATACCTACACTCAAGTTTAATGCATGTTTCCTGGCACTTTCTTCCCACACAAATTCACCACCTTTAATGATATTACCCCCTTGTCACTCTGTTGCTGAGATGTAACTCATGTATCCATGCCCTGAAGTCGATTGACCGGTGGTTTCGTCATCACATCAAAGTGCTAACTCCTTTGTTAAAATTGTATTTCAATCAAATAACAAACTTGTTAAAGTTCTCACAATGGAAGTCTAATAATAGTCACATTAATAATAGTACTATGTTTATTTTAATTGTAGAATTTCTTGGAGTAAAAGAATAAAATATTATTCAAATAATATTATTTGTGTAATTTAATGGATCATTTCTAAGTTTCTTTATTTATTATTATTATCTTAAATCACTTGATGTTTTACTAATGACTATGTTAAATTGTTCTTAAATTTCTGTACATGTTAATTTTTTTTATATATGTTGAAATAATTTAAGGTGCTTTTACATTAATGCATTATATTAAATTATAAAAAGAAATTCCTATTTTTTTGCTCATATATATATATATATATATATATACACACACATACTTAGGCTTTTACATAATATTAAGATTCTTGAACAATGTTTATTTAAATTTTTATTTCTAAAGAAATTAATTTAATTTAAGAAAAAAGAAATTTATTCTAAGATTTTAAAAATATTTTACATTTAAAAAAAGTATTATTTTTAACATTAAAAATATTTAAATATATTAAATATTTTAACTAAAAATTAAAAAAACACATTAAATATATTAAGAAAAAATCACATATGGATCTAAAAAGTTGACCTTAGTAAAAAAAAATAATTTTTTCTCCTTTAAACTATCTTTGTTAGTATGTATAGTATTGCTAAACTTGTTATAGTCAAAATCAATTAATTTAACTTCTTCTTAATCAAGCCTAGCAATTTTGCCAAATTGTATAAAATAAATAAAGACAAGCATGGTTTGGTTAGGAAAATTATATTCAACATTATGATACTAGACTAATCTTTGTAAAATATTAGAATTGCATTTAGTCATAGAGTCCAAAAGAAGGATATTGGCATTAGTTAAATAACAATAAATAACAATAAATTACATTATTTATTATGTTCACATTAGCTTCTTGTAGCCACAAAAAGCATTGTATGTATAACTATGATTATGCAATAAAAAAATTAAATTGATAATTGGATCATTGGCATATATTTATCACAACTTAAATTTGGAATGTAAGATGTGTGGCTATTTTTTGCAAAAATCAACCTTCAATGAATTAATGATACCTTGATTTAATAGCAAGCATTTAATAAAATATTTAAGAATCAACTTTTAACTTGCTTCAATGATAATAGATACATTTTACTTTATTTGATATAATTTTAATTATAATTAATTGTAATATATTCTAGAATTCCAAATATTCTAGAAAAAATATATCTTGCAATTGATTGCAAATATTAGCCAAATATTCCTCAATCTTGAGCAAATTTGCAAAGTTGTAATTTTTGCATAAATACTTCTTAGAAATTTTAATCTAAAATAGATACTTTAGCAACCATTTGTTGAAGAATTTGAAATTGATTAATATTAGAATTTTGTCTTGACTCATGTAATAGCTAATTCACTCTCTATTTACTACAATTTAGATAAAGTAGTTAATTTAGGATTTAGTATAATCATGACAAGCCCCTTAGGTTCCTTGACATATATTCAAGCTTGAATCTTGATAGCCAACTCAATTGTTTTGCCAAGTATTTTTATTTATTATTTATTATTTTTATATGATTTCAAAGCTAGTTCAAGTATTACCAACTTGTAGCTTCCATCGTGCTCATATTGAGGTTTCATGTGCTTATTTCTTTGCATGTAATTAATTCAAATTGTGACATTTTTTGTATGAATCAAAGTATTCTTTAATTGATAGCAAAGATAGTAGAAGACAGTAAAGAGTTTCAAAAGTAGACAAATTGTCTAGCTTCAAAAATCATATGATATGGTCTTTTAAGGCTAGGATCATTTTAGGAAGATATATGTGATAGTTTGTAGTCTTTTTTACTCATAACTTAACTTTATGATAACTTGGGATCTTTACATGCGCACCGATGGGATTTGTCTAAGATTATTTGAATTTTTTAAATACATATATGCCCATGAATTTTCTACAAAGATAATGAAGCTATTCCACAAAGATCTTATAATAACCATTGTCCATGCAACTCTTAGTAAACTTTAGGATAATTTGCCTTGTCCTACATTTCTTATAAAGAGAAATAATAAAAAAAAGACCAAGCCATCTTCCTCCAAGACACTCCTTATTGTCTTAAAAACTTAGTTTCTTTGACTTACTGCTTCAATGTTGATTATGTAAAAAAGATTGTTATATTAAATGTACTAAATAATAAATTATTAACCAATTAGAAAAACATCTAGCAAGAAGAAGGGCACTTCAATCTTATCTATAGTTCATAACACATTAGATACTAGCAATGATGAAGGCATAATACATCTAAACTCAGTAGATAGCATCTAAAGAAATTGGTTCTTAGATTTAGTTGCTATTGCATATCTTATTAGAAAATATAATTAAGTTTCAAATCTTGTATATAAGATCTTCTTTCTATCTTATGTACCTAATTCTAACAAGAAAAAAACTCTACATATGTAGATAAGGTTGTGTATTTATTAAAAATACTAATTATTTTTGCAATATTTTATACATGCTTGATATCAAAAAAAATCTTACATCTATAATATATTTAACTGATAAGAGATATTGCATCTTTTCTGATTCTTTTTCTTGTTGTGTTTACAATCTATTCAATCCACAACTTAATGTCTTTTACAGATGTTGTAGTCTTTACAATAATTTATAAAAATTTCTTAAAGATTTATTAAACTTCAAATACATAAATGATCCTTCTATTCTTCTCTATTTGAATATTTATACCAATTATAATACAAATGAAGGCTTTTTGAGGACCTTCAATCTCTACTCTTGTATCATTACTTTAGTCATATAAACTATCAATGTCTTGCGTACATAGTTATTTATTTGCTAATCTATAAGCTTCCAAAGATCAAGACTCTTCCTACACTTATGTACTTACAAAATAACATTATATTGCTATTTTCAAGGCAACTTGATCTATGGCCATGTGTCATCTCAAATCTATTTATGATGGCTTTTGTAGCCTCATGCTTACTTTGCATCAAGGACATGAACTATAATAGTATTTTGAAAATGATAATATATTCTAATATCACCAAAAGAGAAAAAAATAGACAATTAAAAGATAGATATTGATTTGAAACTAAAATGACTATTACAAAATATAAAAGGATTAGGAAGTCTTTAATTAAGATAAAAAAGCATTGATAAGAGTAAAAAAAGCCTCACTTTTGCTTATCCATATATATATATATATATATATATATTATTTACTAAAAAACTACATGGCACTATTGTATATGCCATATGACAAATGTCCAATTTGCAAGATACATGGTCAGAGCCTGGTAATGCTCACGTTTGGCACGAAAGGTACACAATGCAGAAAACAATCCACTTTCATTTGCTCTTCTTTCGTCTACTTCCCATTTCCCTGCAGCAAAGCAACCGTCTCAAATGATATATATTAAATGGGATTCACATGTCAGATGGGGCGAGGAATACGACGGTCAAGGAGCTAGCATGAAGTACACAGACAAATAGGCTGAGCGGTCAGAGCTCAGTGAAGGATGGACAAGGTGGGGGGATAAATGGGACGAGCGTTTTGACCAGAATGGCCATGGTGTGAATCAGGGTGAGACGTGGTGGGAGGGGGTCCAGGGCGAGCGCTGGAACAGGACATAGGGTGAGAGGCACAACGGATCTGGCTGAGTGCACACGTATGGGAGCAGCAGCAGGAGGAGACTTGGTACAAGAAATACCCATACTTTGGGTTTCGTGAATGTTTTGAGAATTCCAAGGAACTGCGGATGATGGAAAGGAGAGGAAGACGGCAACAATGAAGAGCAACAGCGAGCCTTTCTTCAGAGATCACCTTTCTCCACCCAAACATAAGGAATTGCACCCTGCAGGAGCTACATTGTTGTCTCTTATGGCTTGGCGAATGATGGACATCAATATTGCTTCATTCAGAGCTAGTGGTTAAGGTTTCGGCATTCTAAAACGCATCGGAAGTCCGTTACTTCAGAGAGATTTTCTTTTTTCTTTTTTCCCCATGCACTTATTACAATCAATGGACTCTGTAAAGAAAGAAGCGGAAGAAAATCTATGTGACCTTGTTCTTACTGCATCTCTACTTAGTGAAGAGACTAACCTGTGAACTGTTCGGAAGGGGACAAGGCTTCTGTCCAATACAGCACCAAATGATTTGTTCAACACACATTTTATATCTCATCTGGCTTGAGTATATCTGTTTGCATTATGGGCCTCCGAATTTAATGTTCTTGGTTTCATACTGTGATGATAGCGATATAAGCATGTGGTATTTGTATTCAAACCATATTTTATCTTTCACTCTAATTTTAAGTAACGCAATATTTATAGACATAACTGTCACCATTACTGTAACCAGATTACAACGTGAATCAAACCAAACCTACTGCATATCTAACTTGGAGACAAAAACTTCAGTGTAGACATCTCCACATCTAACAAACATGAAACATTGTGGGACTGTTTTCATTGAGGCAATGGCTTCGGCTTGTGATTTATGTGGAGTACAGGCATGCACCGATTCAAACTCGCACATTTAACAGATGCTAGTCATGAGCTGCATAATTCCTCAGTTGTATGTACAACTTTAGGTTCCTATCAAATATATAAATTCTGTTAGATTCACAACCCTTCAATCTAAACTAACGCTTTCCGAACTGCAACTCAGAAGCCACAACCAGAGCTTGAAAGCTTTGGAAACCTGAATTCCAGAGTACAGAAAGGGTTCCAAGAGATTGATTTCAAAATGTTTACGATATAAGCGATGTTGACCTAACTCAGACAGAAAAAATAATAGACTATACTATATGATCAATATCTGATACGAATCTCCCACGCTGCTCGATGCTATTGGTTATGTGGAAATTGCAAATCATCCTCGACCACTTTAAATGCTCGAGGATGAGCGCCACTGCAGTTCAAGTTCCACATCTTAAAAAACGACCTCTCAAAGTTGCGTACCTGCACAGAAAAACAAGACCAGCCATAACGCTTACTCATAAAAAATATAAAAATAAAACATCTTACCACTATACCATACCTGAAAAACATTCCAGTGCAATACTCATTGGGCGATGTGATACAATCATACTTAACATTCATGTGATTTCGAAATACAATTCCAAAGCATCAGTAATCTAGTTTTGTTTTACCCAGCGGATGGTATCAAACAAGGGAGACGAAAGCCGGGATGCACGAAGGTTTGCAGTTAAGGCCTTCAAAATGGCAGGATTTGTCGCTAACATCACCGCTCTCTCCTCATATTCTTGCATACTGTGCACAACCAAAGCCACGCTCATAAGCGAATTGACCAATGTTGCTCACATTGGGCTCAAAAGTTGAGCAAGATGAAGTCATACTTAACATGGTATGAATGCGACGAATATAACCTGCTGACAACCATCTCTTCACCAAAACCAGCTGCATAGCATAGTGACATAGCGACTCGTGTAGCCATCTTTTCAAGTGGAAGAGTCACCATAGGCAGTCCAGCCCACAGCACATCTGTTCCAGTTGTATGTGCATTGCAAAGAGGTCTGCATCAATGAAATGCATTCCAAAGGTTAATACAAAACAGTTCTCATTAGAGTTAAAACAAAAACTGATTTTCACATAACTGGAAACAACAGCCATAAATACACAAGCATATTCTAATGCAGAGAGCAGGATAACTTTTTACAGAATGGCACATACGAGTCCAGAAAAAGATCGGCAAGGGCACTTCGTCTAATGTGCTCATTCTTGGCAGCCACATCTGTAAAAATAAATTGCTCAGGCCTGACACCTTGGGCAATCGCAACTGTAAAAGGCAATATACGCGTATCAGATCAACAATATGCATTCTAAACAGAGATGAAAACAACAAAAGTTAAAAATTTACCATTCGAATTTAAAAACAAAAAACAAAACAAAACAAAAAAGACAAAAAATAAAGAAGAAAGAAAGAAGCAGATGTAAGACAGAAGGAACCACAACTAAACTTACAGGCTTTCAGGCGGGTTTCTCCAGCAGCTGGAAAACGCAGAAGCCACAACGCACTGTTGGGAACACGTTTCAAAATTCGGCACCTGGGCAGAGAAACGTGCTTTCGTTGAGTACATACAGATTTCACAGATAGCAAATACACAAGTAAAACACGGGCAGATGAGGTTAGAATGTACGGAATTATCCACTCCCACCCTTGATCACGTATTAGGCAGATCGCAACTGCAGTTCTTGCAGAGTATCCACTAATCTATATCAAACTAATCTAACGTAACCAACATACGTCCTCAATATTATGCATAATTTTTACTCGAACACCCCTAAGCCGTCTTCCATATTCAAATTAGGAGTTTGGTCAATTCATGGTAAATTTCCTATTAGAATTGAGAAACAAAAGTTTGCCTTACATTTTCGTTTTCCAACTTTTCATATGCTCTCCACATACTTGACCATCACTGAGCCAATCTTCCATATTTGAGAACTGAAAATATTGAACATACGAGCACATATGAACCGTGGTAGCCACTTAACCTTCAACACGAATTACATTACTACTTCCCGACACTACATCACGTTTTTTTACAGAGGAAAACTGTCACTGTTAGGTGCTGAAATTTATTTCTCAGTGGAGAGGTAAAAGTTCCGTTCATTAACGGTGATAAAGTTAACTGAATAGAGTTGAGGTGTGCAGAGGTTGTCCAAGTAAGATAATTAGGTAGTGTGGACATCTCATTTAGTTTTAATCTAGCCAAAACTATAAGATTGCGGATACTTAGGTGCGTACCATGTGGAAAAAATTTCAGGATCCATCTTGTACAGCTGGTTAAAACAAGCAAATAGAAACTTGTCTTCAGGTAGGCTATAGTCCGAACGTTTCATGCTGATGGAAGGATCCAGTACGTCGCGATTGCGCTGCACAGCTCTCAACAGCAAGCAACATCTCGTGAGATAACGTGATGACTACCTTGTTAATAATGACATGTTGCAGCCCGGAAGAGTAATATCCAGCACAGTATGTATTACTGACATCCTGAACAAAGAAAACAAGATCAGTTTCTCGATAGGCCAACTCAACCTGCTTATAATCATTGACAAAGTAACAATGTGGTAAGTGGACGATTTTCTCTGAGTAAATGTGCGCATATTCATGCGGAGAAACGAGCTGCACAGAGAGCACAAAGAACGGTTACTTGTAATGCAAGGAAAAAACTTACTAAACCATCCTCCGCAAATTCTGTAGAACAGAGGAAAATGAACAAGTTATACAAAACAACAGCAAATAGCGTACGTACTTCATCAGTTACTAGATAGTCGATGTAATCTGCGCCAGTAGTACCAGGAAACCCCATGTATGACACCTGAATGGGAGCTGGTCTCATTGCAAAAATCTCATTTCTGGCGCCCTACAAGGAGGAAGCATGAGATAAGAAACCATATAAAATCTTCAAGTGAAAAGAAATCAGGCATAGAAAACTTGCAAATGTTGGTAAATAAACAGACAAACTTCACAAGCCTCACAGAGGTCACGAAACAGCCTCAATGATGAAATTCAATAGAAATCACTGTCCCGAATTCGGAAGAAGTTACCTTAGTGTAACCATTGAGGTTAACAAGGATTTGGATCTTATTATTGTTTATCAATTCAGCAATTGCATCTGACGCCATTGCAGAAACATCTATAAAATGCTCAGCTTCTGCAGAAATCCTCTGTCTCCACTCGCTTCCGTCACTTGGGCTCAGTGCGTAGCAGAACACCTGCAATGCATGGAAAATTAGCAAAGACCAAGTGATACGCTGTGAACAAAACGACAATAAACAAATATTTTTTAATAAGCTAATATGTTTATGTCTCGATGACAATAGAAAATTGATGTTACATGTATAAATTGAAGGAAAAGTGTGAAAGCTGCTATAAATTTTGCTTCGTGTAAAATCTCGTTGTTTATAGCATGAAAAGAAAACTTATCCACTAGTACTAACCTCCACATGATTACGATTGTGCATCCCGAAGATAGACCCCATGAGATGCGACAGAGGATGGTTCCCAAAGTCACTACTTACATACCTGCCACGATGCAATTGAGAGGCATAAGTTAAAAGTTGCGTTAAAACAGACGAAAAATTTCAGGACAAAAATATGTAGGTACAACCACTCTCAACAGTAGCTTGAAGGTGCAAAATAGAATTTCAAGGTTGTCGAGTTGCATTACTTACCCAACCCGGAGGCGACCGCTGCCACCTTCATTTTTCACCGGGATGGCGATTGGGGGAGTAAATGATTGCACCCCGTATCTCGTTGCAATCAACGAGCAATGTTCTGCATATTTTCGACTGCAAAAAATCCCACAACCGTCTCAACGGACATAAATACTTTCACCGTGAGACCCACTTAAACCAAGGTGCATTCACAAATGTACAGAATCTATGACATTTTCGTGGATTTCTCGATAAAAACATGATATCAAAACTAATATCTATTTCCAGTTTCAGATATTAGTTTTAAAATAACAGTGAAGGAAACACCAAGCCTGCGAAAAAAAAATCAAAAAGAGAGTAAATCCAACCTTATCTCCAAGGCAAGTATTGGATCAATTGGATACGCGATAGCATGGAAGGGCTGAACACTTGGCAAAAGCCGCATCTGTATCACAGAACAAGCCAAATACAATTGATAGACATGTCTAGCACTTGCAAATCCATAACCTGCACTAAAATTTTAAGATTCGCAAAGAACATTAGATATTCACGTGCTTACATATATACTGCAGAAGTTTAACAGCAGACCATCATCCAGGAACTATGTCAAACACCAAAACTAGTTGATCTGAAAAGTCGAAAGTGACATCCATTAAATTTATGCAAGGCGTCACACCTTAATCTGTCGTCGTATAACAGCCTCAACTTCAGTGAACTTCTTGTCCCGGTCATCCCAATCACACACACACTGCAAAACATAACGAATTTATCAGTTCCTGTTGACAGCCTGCATCACCACATAATAACAGATGATTTTTAAAATGCCCAAGAAGCATTCAATAAACTAGGCGCCAAGTGATTTTTTCATTTCAACACAAATTTCAAGTATTCAATCTGCGAACCTGAAGGGTATGAAGCAAGTTGCAAGTGACCTCTGGAAAATCAGGACGGAGGAAAAGAGCCTGCTTATAGCTTTTAATAGCTGCCTCCACATGTCCACTGCTCAACTCCCAACGAAGGAAAAGCCGTAAATAAATAGAGATTCCAGAAGAGCAAACTGACATATAAAACGCTCATTTTCCGGGTATCGTTTAGTTTCAGGATAAAGCGAAGACAGTTGAGTTGAATCAAATACACAAAACCAATAGCAGGCAAATGACCACAAGCAAAAATACTTAAACGTATCGAAGCTCATCGTACAACCTGTCCTTATACGCTGAAGCAAGATTTGCATGTGCCTCCGCCATCGTAGGCCGTATAGCTACAGCGCGGATGTAATCCTGGATAGCTTCACTAACCCGGCCAATCTCTTTAAGCGTATTTCCTCGGTTCACCAATCCATCTGCAGCCATGGGATCTACCCTCATGACCTCATTGTAACAAGCAATAGCATCTGCATAATTACCCTGTCCCATATACAGCCCTGTTAGTACGTATATTAAATTCTTTCAAAAACAGAGTCAGCAGAGTATCTGAAACTGGAAACTTCACAGACAGATAAAGCTTCAATAAAACATGATATAGAAAACGCCAACTTTTATACATGTTTCAAGCAGATAAATTTATATTTCAAAGAAAGAGAAATACTACAGATAAAGAAAATTAAATGGAATGAAATGACGAAGCATCGAGCACCTGTTGCTTGTAGATAGTAGCCAGATTGCTGTATGGAGCAGAGAGACCAGTTGTAACGTTCAGCGTTGCCTTGTAGAATGTTGCTGCGGTACTTACCATGTTACTGCAGATCATGAAAAGCACAAACAGGAGGATCAATGACTTTCCAACGACAAAAGAGGACTAATTATCAAAAACCAACAACTGTTTCTTAAATGACAATTTTCTTACTGCTTATTACATGCTACAGATACCGATATCTCTGGACTGAAAAATGAGTAACCTTTCCTTAACTATCTTTAAAAAAGGAAACTTACCACTCCATGTAAATATTGCCAAGGTTTGTAAGCGCTTGCGGATGACTATCCTGAAGTTGGAGGCATTTCTGCAAGCAGTGAAGATGCCTATCGTAAGAATTTCAACCGCATTCCGTCAAAGAGAGCCACAGACGTTATGTGACGCGAGCTTAGAGTTTAATTCTACGGTATTACCTCATAACAGGAAATAGCGCCATCTACCTGTCCTGCATCCTTCAACGCATTACCCTGTATAGAATGAGACACACAGCTAAGAATCAGAATCCAAGTAAAACTGAGCACGGATTGGAAACCGAAGACTGCAAATGCATGCACAGACATGGATTAGAAAATGAAAATCTTAAGAATGCAGGCAAGATGAAGTTCAAGTCAATCAGTAGAAGAAGATGAAACTTAATACCAGATTATTATAAGCCTCTATGAAGGAGGAATCGAAAAGAAGAGCTTGCTTGTAGTGGACAATAGCATGATCAAGAAGCCCTTGTTCGTAGTACACGCTTGCAAGATTCCCTGCACCCAAAATCAGAACCAAACTATGTATGCAGCATATCCGTGACCTACACCCTTAGTAGCCACCAAAGCCTCTGATAGTCTTTCCAACCTGAAAGTGATGTCGAGGTGGTTTAAACATTTATATTGTTTCCACCACCACCAAACACAAACTGCTGCACCTGTACGTCTTCCACAAAGTAGTAATGCGTACAGTCCTTACTGAAGCCAGTTGTTCGGAGCAGCAACGGAGTATATTTACACTTATGGAAACCGCAAGTGGCAAGGGTGAGAGATCCACAGAGGTAAAGATCGAATAGGTGATACAAAGACTTCGAGACGACATCAAGTCACCGTAACGTTGAGCTTTTCTCATAGAGCAAGAGTACAAGTAAGGATGATATTGTTATAAGGATCATCAAGTTCTCTTCAAATTCTATCCTCGTAATAGGAGGGGTTGAAAGTCCCATGAAATTGTCTTGAGCTGGCGCCATCACGGAAACTATATATAAAGAAAGACAACCCACAGACCACGCAAATGGCAGACTGTCAGACACAGCTAAAAGTCCATCATTCAAATGAAAGCTTCGCACCAAAATCAACTAAGACATTCAGCCAGCCCATTCCCGTGAATTAGCTTTTTAAGAGGACTAGGTCTTGATTTCCATGCTCCTGTTGAAGTTGCTGACTATCTTGACAGCTTCACAACTGACAAACTGGGGGTAAATTTCTATGAAGGTCAGCATCCAATTAACATTCATCAAATGACGCGTTTTAACAATCCATGACAGTGCTCATGCAGAAAAGTAGGCATACTCTGTTAATATTTTCAAATTGACTTTAAAATGGTTTTGAATAAAATTTGAAGCGAATCATCAGATTGCGCATACTTGAAGTCATAAAAACCATGTTGTGTTGGTCAGGTCAAAAACCAAACCAACAGAACACATACGCATTTTAAAACACCGTAGCCATACAACGGTGGATTTCATAGCGATGTCGTTGTATGTGCCAGAAGCATATTGTACAAGATTAGGCATGCCTAAACTAGCACAACATGCCAAGGTACGATTGCGCTTTTAAACTATTGTCACACAAGAAGCACATCTCAATATCGAAAGCAATTCCTCGTAATAATGTCCACTACTCCCAACTTGCACATTTTTGCAAGTAAGGGTCTGGTCATGTCGAAATCGACAAAAAAGAAGTCAATTAAACTCCTTGGTCATAGCTTACCGTATGCAATGGCATAGTCTGGTCGCAGCTGGATGGAACGATTGTAACATGCAATTGCCTCCTGATGCCTGTTCATGGCCTACACAGAAAAGACACAGTAAATTCTATGACACTTCCTCCTTAAGACTGTTATGTTATGTAACACTTTCCAGAAGGAGCTCACTTGCCTTTTAAAATAGATCGTAACACTATCAAATTTGAGATAGGGCTAAAGAGGAAAAGAAAGAGATGAGAAACTTTAAAAGAAGTTCAATACTATTACAGGTAATATAAAGCAAGAGAAGTCCGACCACGTGATATTATACCTTCAATACATTCCCTAGATTGAGGTGCGCATCAACAAAACTAGGCTTTAAGCGAATGGCCTCCTATGGCACATTTAAACAAAAGAAGATCATCAGCAATTGCATATTTAGAGTTCATACAATAAACGACAAACAAAACAACAATTTTCTCGTTCTCGAAATCCCGATCTCCAGCACAAGTATCACCCCCCCCCCCCAAAAAAAAAAGAAAAAAAGAAAAAAATAAAAAAGAAAAAAAAAAAAACGCGGAAAGTGTGTTCTATTGATTACATTGAAAAATTTTAAAAACCTAAAAATCTTTAAAACTATGTTTTACCTATAGGTACGATATACCAAGCTTAGATCGGTTGGTTCTGATCGGTTAAAGTACCTTCAAGCCCTAGACTGATCAAACGTAGACTGTGATAAAGGTCCTCAACAGAGACTTAGAGGGTTCAAAATAAACCTTGTAATATGTCAAAGCTTTCTGTAATTCTCCTGCCTCCATTAGCAAACCCGCAAGATTCGACCATGCAATAGCAAATGTAGGTTGCAATCGAATGGCCTCCACATAGCAAAGATATGCCTACAATAACATAGATTTTTCTACCATGTAAGATAAACAACACATAAAATAAGATAATATTTGAAGGAAAAGTCTCCATGTTCATAACTATAATAATACCAATTGAAGAGCTCAGAAAATAATCAACGAGTATTCCACGGCAAAAAAATTATGAAATTTATTTTGAAAGCAAGTCAGTACATTGCAATGATCACTTCCTGACTAGAACGTGATAGAAAAGGATATGAAAACTACATGATGTGTTAAACCCTGGGCCTTGAGAAGGTTTCCCAAGTTGCTATGAGCGTCAACCTGAGGCATAACAGAAACTATTAGTCTCGTAGTATATGCAACAGGTATACGTTCTTTTTCATCAACGCTTCGGATTCAATTAGAAAGAAGAGGGAAAGAATTGTTTCAAAAAGTTAAAAAGATACGTGAAAAAATAATAAAACTAATAAATACTAAAAATAAAAAAACAAAATAAACAGAACACTACCATCATCGTACAAACTATGTGTCTCAAAATTCTTTCATAAATCTCACCAGCCGCGGGTTTAGTATGAGCGCATGCTGACAGCACTCAGCTGCTTCTTGTAGCCTTCCTTTCCTCATAAAAGCACTTGCTAAGTTCGACCATGCATCACAAAAATTGGGCTTCAACTGTTGCAAGACAAACATAGGAAAGTGAATCACTTAAACACACACTGTTTCAATACAACCACAAAGAAGTAACTTATTCCTAACTCGCTGCGAAAACTGTTTCAACATGATGGTGACGGCAGTGGAAAAATTCGCAAGAACTTCTCTTAAAATGAAATAAATATTGACTAAATGACGCCCATCCTAAAATACAAATATGGTGTCCAGTGAAATTCTAAATCACGTTTTAAATACATTAGCAATTGATATTCGGGAGTATAATTGAGAAGATCAAAAAATCTAACTCATCATTGTCCCTAAATCGAGGTTTGGGATCAGGAATACCTCAATTGCCGCGGAATAGTACAGAATTGCAAGGTCAATGTCTCCTTTCTCCTACGTAAACCAAAATGCAAACCAAATCAGAAATTTAATAACCTGATTTTAGCTAACGACAATCTCAAGGTGTTGACAGAGAAACATGGAAACTCACCAAAATTAGGATTTTAGATAAAAGAACTCACATAAGAAATGTCATATTAAGAAAAGAAAGCACCTTCAAAGCATTCGCCATGTTGCCGTAACACTCTGCAAATTTAGGCTCAATCCGGATGGCTTCTTCATTCTTGACAAGGCACATATCAAAGTCATGTAGCTGGTGAAGCACAAATTCATCATTGCCAAAAATATTAGTAAATAAATTGAAAAATATTACCGCACCCTTGACAAAGAAAACAAATAATATCGACCGAATAGCGAAAACACAATCATGAATCTGGCATGATTCGTCAAAAGCTAGGAAATTCAAAAGCACCGATTAGTGAAGGGAAAACCTGATAGTAAATAGCTCCCAGAAGCAATAAGGCATCAGTGCGTTGAGGGCTCTTATTATATACCATCAAGCAATTTTGTAGAGCATACTTATAGTTACCAGCTTTGTATTCCTGGTGAGCTCTCGCCAAAAACATCTCTTCGTCCACTAGAATCGAATTCATGCGAGAATAATCCAATATCAGTAATTCAGTATAATTCTCCTGAAGAGACCACAATTTAATGACTAGAACAAAACAACTTCAACAACATAAAAATTGCAACAAGCATATCCCATCAAATTCGCACTAATTCACGAAAATGACTGCCCCTGATTCTAATAGAAATTTATCTAGAAGTAGGCTTCCCTAAATTGGTCTGCATTAACAAGAGGAAAGCACAAACGTTGGTCTAAATATAAATATTTAAAATTTAAATAACTATGCCAGTGGCGTTGAAAAAAGCCCCCGGAAACTCACGGTATAACACACTCACCGTCAACACCCTCGTAAACGCCAGTGGATGAAGTAGAAGGGAAATCCTCCACTCGGGATAAGGAATGACCAAATTGCTCAACAGACTCCAATTTCACAGAATCTAGAAGAAACATCGATTGCCCATGCTGCGGCCTCATGGCGCTTTGAAGAGTCATCAGCGCGACGCCTGGCTGTTGCCTCATGTGATTCTGTAATGTCATCATCATCGCTACTCAGCGCAACAGAAGTTGCTTCATTAACCCGGGAAACCCTCCCAACGATTGTCGACGAACACTTACTCTCACGATCGCACGGCTAACATCTACAGCTACGCCCTCCAAGCTCACATGGCGACTATCACCAGCGACCGCAGCAAATCTCAAAGTTCACGTCCATGTGCAGGACCTACCCCATGGATTTGGTCACTCTTTCCGACCGCGTTCACGCCCTCACACCCGCCCTCCCCTCAGCATCCACACGCAAAACGCCGTTACAAGCTCCAGCTGAGCCGTGAGCCCTGAGCCCTCAATGTTACCAAAGGTAACAACGATACACACTTCGCAGGCATGTAGCCACATGCAGCTCCAAACTGCAAGTGCCTCTCAGTGAGACGAATTCCTGGCTATGGCGGAAGCACCTTTGGCACGTCCTGGTCTCGATTTCTGCCCACGGTTTGTTGCCATTTGTCCACATCCGAAAACTCTTGCCTTAAACGCCCCCGTCCCTCAGTAGCTCGCCTTTGTCTGGCCATCCTCCAGTCTACGACCCTCGTTTTGGGACCCCGTCCATCGGTCGCTGAATCTCTAGCTTCTCACCAGAACAGGACAATGGGCGCCGACGGAGGAGGGGAGACGAAAAGTAGGGGAAATTTACACCAACCTGGAAGTTCTGTCGACGATTTTAGTCCACTGGTGAGGCTTATCAAGTTTTAAGCTCACCACCAGTTTCCAGCCCTTTTCAGCTAAACCTTGACTTGGGTTCCACACCATCAGTGTGTGAAAAAAGTCCTTTCTACCTTCCTTTGCTTAGGGCATGGACAGTACCAAGTGGTTTCTGTCTCTTTTTCTTTCTTATGGTTGGCTAGTTGGTTGATTGGTTTTTGTTATTGTCTTTTTATGGGTTTGTGATGCAATTCTACCAAGCGTGCCAAAAGTGAATGTGAACCTGTGTGTGTGTGTGTTGGGACTGGTGCATCAAGATAGTAACATCCAGCCATGAGCCATAAAGTGTCTTATTGGGCAGTGAAGGTTGTGGCATTGATTTTGAGATCAATGCTTGCTGCCAAAGTCCAGACTGGAGGGTCCATGACTTGCCCTGTCTACTTCAACAACTCACCAGCCTTGTACTGAAAGGATATCAGCAAAGCCTTTGATTTTTGTAGTTCAGATTTTATCAAGCACCTGCTCTGTAGCCACAGAGAACCCTAACTCTACTTCCTGTCCCCAAGTCTTTACCCTCTTTTAATTGTTTACCTGGATCCAATTTTAAAACTGAGTCAAATGATAGTGTTGTTTGATTGCTCAATTTGATGTAGAATGATTGTTAATACTCTCCCATTACCTGTGAAGTTGTGCATGCTAACACATCCATGGAGCCTTCTCTCTTTCATTTTTGTTTTTCCTGTGTTCTTTTCTATGCAAGTTTGCATCCATCACTGTAGTCAGACAAGCCCAAATTGGATGGAGATAGGTGAACTTAGGTGGAATGGATGTGATAGAACCAACAGCTACATAATGTAAGGACCACATGCAAACAAAAGCAGCTGTGCAGTTGACTTGGGAGCAATTGAAGAGCAGGAGGAGAGTAGAGAGAAGCAACAAGTGCTAGTGTGAGTTTGAGTGCTAAGGGTGAAAATCTCTCCATGGAAAACTCACTGGAGGTTGCAAATATACATGGTCAATGTCCAGCCTTGTCCACTCCTGTCATGGATGTTGCTTTTCCATTGATAGATACAAGAGTTCATTTGAGTGATTCTGGGGAAAAATATTAAAATATTAATAAAAGTTACAGTTTTCTTTTTTCTTTTTTTTTAAATATTAACATTTTTTATGCTAAAAATTCTAATCAAAATTTGATTAGACATGAAAATCAGCAACACATTATACAATAATTTGATAAGATTTTATGTTCTTTTCAAAGACAAAAGACATAAGCTCCAAGTGCTATATCTTCAAAAAAAAAATGCACGGGTTCTTTAAATGCAACAATGAAAACAGGGAAAAAAAAAAAAAAAAAAAAAAACAAACAAACAAACAAAAAACAAAACAAGATGTGATAATTGAATATGAAAGTGTTCATTGCAATTGTGTCTGTATGTATATGTACATGCTCAATTATTATAGCATGAAGTCATTCATATTTATAATGAATTCACAAATAATTGGACCAAAGCTATCACTAATAATCACATCATGATATGTCAAATTTCATGCAAACTAAAGCTATTTTTTTGAAAACATACACACACAAAAATAAGAGAGTATAACAATTGTTATGTATCTTAAAAAATTACAATATAATTTGCATGAAGCAACCAAATATATTTCCATGTTTATTGTATTAAAAACTAATGCTACACATGCACAATTAGACTCTTAGACAAAATGCTATTTATATATTAAGATTGCTCAAGGAGACATTGCTCAAAGAGACAAGCAATGGCTCTCCTTCACTGCATGCTATTCTCTTTGTTTTTATCAAAAGACTTCACGTTCTATGGAGTTCACAACCCCTTTTATAATTCAATGAAGGTGTTTTATAGTTTATCAAGAACTAATCACTTATTAAAGCAAGTAGAAGACTGCAAGGATGGCGCACCTCTCTCCACTTATTCTATGATTGCCTCTAGGACAGATACCCTTCCACTCATTGGTGTGATCAAATTCTATTGCACATATTTGATGGCATTTGCTTATGGCGGCTTACTTTCTCAGATGTGGCTTAGTTGTTGGTAGTTTTGATTGTGTAATGGGCTTTGATATATAGAATTTGAATATAGATTATGAACATGAAGTGTGTGATGTGAAGATTTTTTGTTGTTGAGAACAGATGAACAATGTGGAGCCTCAGGTTGGAATTACAATTCAATTGCATTTGATGGTTTTGATCACATTTGATGGTTTATATTTTTGTAGACCTTCACAATTCTATTAATCATGCTATGTTTTTCTTTTTAGTCACTTGTATTATGAGGCAGTTTATTCTTGACTACTATAATATAAGAGTCTCTCAATGTTGACCTTTTTAAAGGAGTCACATCTCTTTTTATGGCCATACCTTTAACTGCAATTTTATGGTAGAGGCAATTTTTTTCATCTTTTTTGAAGATTTAGAATCCTGCCTCATGGTCTTTTTTGAGTTAGAATGGCATGTTCTTTAAGTCTCATTGCTAACCTTTTGTTTTACGTCCAAATATGCCAAGATGGTAATACACCAATAGTGGCTATTTATATAAGTGACAAAAATTTATATAAGTTAGTAATTGATTATTGCTTATCAAATGTGTAATAAAAAAAAACTAGTACACAATAAAAGCAACAAGCCTTCTTCTTTGGGATGCAGCTCTAGCTCTTATCGCGACATTGAAAGCTAATCTAATGCTCACCTTAGGAGGTAAATTGCCATAGGTAGAAGCCACATCTTAGGAGATAAAACACAATTATATTTGAGGAGGTTTCTAAGTTTCAATGATAGAATTAAAATAAGCACGTCGGATAGTTAATTTATAATGGTATAGAAACTTATTTGACTTGATTTTCTATTAGCGAATTTGGTACATTTTTTTCTCTATCTCCGTATATTACCAACTTTAAGAACTGCTTTGTGATTGTTGTACAAAATCCTAGAGAGTGTAATAGAATATGATTTATATGTCTAATAAGTTTGATATATTTGAAACATAAGGCTCTTACAATTGGATCTTCTCTTATTTTAAACAAGTGAATTTTAAAAGAAAACTTCATCAATGATCTTAGATTTATTAGCTATATCATTTGTATTAGATTAATTTGATTTATAGATATTAATTTTATTCAAGCTTTCTGGTGTAGGTTTTATTAAATAATGAGAAGATGCCATTGTATATGATTAATACAGAGTATGATCAATAGGAATCAACAATTTAATTGTTTATAAAATGGTTGCAAGAAATACAAATTTTTGGTTTTTTATTCCTCAAGGATCTAATTTAGATTGATTCAAAGTCAAAAAGAGAAGAAGGATTTTTTTCTTCTTAAGTATTCTTAAAATTAATAAAATACTCGTGAAATTGCAATCTTTAAGAAATTATTAGGAGTTAGTTGCCTAATTGTTTTGGAGCTAATAGACATCAAAGATTTTTTTTTTTTTTTTTTTTTTTTTTTTTTTTTTTTTTTGTAAGAATTGATCATTCTCAAAATAGAAGGACTACATCATTGACAAAAATGTGGCTTGGATAGCTAAGATAATAATGATAAACTTACTATGACATTGCAAAAAGCATTAGATTCTAAAATATTGGATCATTTTGTAATTGTGAACCAAACTAAGGCCTTTTGTAATAAGATATAGATAAGATATTTATATAGAGATAGATAGTTAGAACCATGGAAGTTTCTAAAATTTAGGGTTAGATTAGTGGACTCGATAGGACCTACTATGGAATATTTTAGAAAAAATTTAGGATGGTTATTTAAATAGGGTCCACCGTAGAATCTTCCAAAAAATCTTAGGGTGGTTATGTAGATAGAGCCTACCATAGAATCTTCTAAAAGGAATTTTAGGCGGTTATCTAAGTGAAATCTACCACCTAAGGATATTCTAGAAAATTTAAGATGATAGAACAAAGTATAAATAGGATTAGCCAGGGCCTTTTGAGTCATTTGGTTAGGTATGGCTTTGGACCTTTTCTCTTAATACAATTGGATTTTGTATCTTCTTCTTTTATTTTGTTTTGTCCTAATTTTGGTTGCTTAATTTTGTCTTTTGAGTTTAATTTTGTTTAATTCTATTTAGTTTTATTCTGGTCTAGTTTGTCTTATGTTGTGATGAAATTTTATGTTGTTGTGGATTAGAAAGATCTTAGACACTTGAAATAGAGCAGTCCTATTTCATTGATATCAGAACAAGTATTAGACTGTTTACTTTTGACAATGTGTCAATAGTCATCATATAGCCTAAGATTAGTTATTATGGTGACATTGGATATTGTGTTGAGGCTACCACAAGCTATTCTTAAAAAATCAACCAAGAGGTGAGAAGGCATTATAATAGTGGAATCTAGCAAATTAATTATAATATGGAAGATATGGCAGAGCAATCCTAAATGGAGGCTTAAATACAACACTTCTTTGGCCAAATAGCTACTTTGTAAGGACAAATAGAAGCTTCAAGGACAAGGGAATCAATATTTGCTAGGCTGAAATTAAGTAAACTTAGTACATACTCTAGGACTTCAAGACAAGAAGATGTATGTCAATGGCTCTTCAACATGCAATAATATCTCCAACTATCTGGGACAAATACTATAGAAGGAATTATATATGCAACTAGATATTTAAGAAATATAGCAACCATTTAGTGGCAACATCAAATTCAAAGCTATGGAGTTTAAGGTGGAGATTGATGCTCTATAAGGATCATTGACATCGCTAAGATGACAAATATTGGTACAAAAAAATTATGTTTCTAT